AGGAATGTTACAGAAGAGCAAAAGCAATACCTGACCTAAAAATCAGATCAACATTGCTGTAAGACCTCAGTCCCAACCAGCCCCCAGCAACGGCCTCTCCAGATGCTGAGATCAGCATAACCAGGGCTGTTCAGAAGGGGCCAAACAAGATTTTTTTTTTCATGGGATGGGGACAAGGGTTTTGAAAAACTTGAGCTTTTTTTCTTGCATGTGAATCCTAAAGCGAGGGTGGGGTGGGAGTGCGTGTCACTGTCACCCTTCAAACAGCCAGCATGGCTGAGTTCTGCATGCTCTGCCCTAAGTCCTAGGGGTTCTCTCCCCCCTGTACCTCATGGCAGGCGGCAGCATCGGTGCTTTCTCTGTGTTGGGGTTCACACACACACTGGTAAGTTTTGAACTGGTTTCAAAAGCAGCTGGGAAAACAAACAAAACCCACTCTTATTCTCGAAGCTGGACATTATAGACTGTTACAGGTTGGAAGGGCTCTCTGGAGGTCTTTTGCCCAAGCCTCTGCTCAAAGAAAATGTGTTGGATCAGGTCATGCGGGAGCTTGTCCAGCGGAGGTTTGAATGTCCACAGCTTCTCTGGGCCCCTGTTCCAGTGTTTGACCACCCTCAGAGTGAAAATTTTTTCCATACAGCTAATGAGAATTTCCTGTTTTCAGGCTTGGGCTCATTGCCTCTCATCCTGTCTGACAAAAGCCTGGCTACCCCCGAGGTAGCTGTAGACAGCAGTAAGATCTCTCCTTTACCTCCTCTTCTCCCAGCGCTCATCCTTTCAGTCAGCCCTGCTGCCATCCCCTCTTTTGACTGTTCCCCTGCAGCAGCCATGTGCTGGCCTCTGCGGGGGCCAGGGGTGATGGGAGCAGCACCGCAGGTCAGAGCCGTGAACTTTCATCACTCATCCACCTTAATTAAGCCTGGATCCACTGGCAAGGGAGAAAGTGGCCTTCAATGTCCAAAACCAACCTCAGTTCTGGCTGGGAGACCCATGCCAGTCTGCCCCACAAACAAAATTCCACCTTGTCCCGTTCATTGTGATAAAGTACGTTTATTGTTAAAAACCTCCAAGCCGCTCTGCCTGCCCTAGCTGCTGCCATCGCACAGCTTGAGGCTCCCATACAGAGCACAGCTCAAGTCTGGGCCGGTGGCACACTTGCAAGTCTTGTCAGCTGCAAGAGAAGTGTCCCATTGCTGCCATCTCTCTCTCCATTTTCTTGTCTACAACGCTCACAAATTTGTTTCCTCGTAAATAAAACCTGAGAGGTTTCTGTGCCCACTCTCCCCTGTTGCCAATACCAATCCTTGTTGTGGCCACCACGTCCTGCTCCCCTGGTAGGTCACGTCCAGGTACCATCCAGATGGCTGCATCCTGAGTCAGGTCCCTCTGGTCAAAAGCCTTATCAATCCCAAACGCTTGGCAGAGCTTGGAGGGCCCGTTACACAGCTGCCAGTCCTTCAGCACCTTTGCGGGTCCTTTCCTGGAAGCGCTGCGCAGCTCTCTCATCGCATCTAAACCCTGAAGAGGTTCCAAAGAGCGAAGTAGTACTGCAGCCCCCTCCCCTGTGCGGAACAAGAACCATGTGTTAGTACAAGGTTGGTCATCCAGAACGTCTCGGCTTTCAGCCCCACCAGCCTGCGGCTCAGCTCAGCCTGACGGACCCAACCACCGGCTCTGTCCTGCTCTCGGGCCGCTTCGCTTCAAGTGCCAGGCTCTGGAGTCAGCCGCTAACCCGTGGTCGCTGCACTCTCCTCCCTCTTCTGAATGCCAGTGACCTGTAGCTCTGTGTCCTTGTCCGTCAGAGCTGACTTGCTCTTCCCCAACCCCACATCTTGATGTCACTAAGTCGAGCTGCTGCTCCAGGGCTTGCCAGAGGGCAAGAGGTTTTTCTTATGTCAGCACAATGTTCAGGAATAAATACACATATGGTTCAGTTTTGGCATAGCTATCCAAAACTGCTCCCAAACCCAGTGGATTTATAATAAACGCCGACTGCAACAACTCCAGCTAACAAAGGAGAGGAGGAATGAGTCCAGATGCTGCCAGTAGAAAGAGGCAGCTTGCAGAGTTAGGCTGGACACAGAGAAACCAGGCCCTGGGAGCAGGCTCGCTCTGTGCTGCTGCTGCTGCTGAGGGAGCCCTGGCTAGAGGTGTTACCAATCACAGAATCGGTTTGGTTGGAAGAGACCTGTGGGATCATCGAGTCCCACCTTTGCCCTAACACCTCCATGTCAGCCAGACCATGGCACTAAGTGCCACCTCCAGCCTTTTCTTAAACACCTCCAGGGATGGGGACTCCACCACCTCCCTGGGCAGCCCATCCCAATGCCTAACGACCCTTTCTGTGAAGAAATGCCTCCTCATTTCTAGCCTGAACTTCCCCTGGCGCAGTTTCAGACTGTGCCCTCTTGTCCCGTCAGGAGCTGCCTGGGAGAAGAGGCCGACCCCCACCTGGCTACCCCCTCCTTTCAGGTCACTGTAGAGAGCCATCAGGTCTCCCCTCAGCCTCCTCTTCTCCAGACCAAACCCCCCCAGCTCCCTCAGCCGCTCCCCATCAGACTTGTGCTCCAGACCCTTCCCCACCTTCGTTGCCCTTCTCTGGACTCGCTCCAGCACCTCAAGGTCTGTCTGGTGGTGAGGGGCCCAGAACTGAACACAGCACTCAAGGTGCGGCCTCAACAGTGCCGAGTACGAGGGGGATTCAAACATTCAAACACCCACTTGGAGGTGGAACAACAGGTGGGATGACCATGGCTTTGGGGAACTCCACAGCTACAACAGAGAGCGATCCGAACCCTGGTGCCAGGGAAGCTCTCGCAAGACGGGTCCCGGGGCAGAATGGGGCTGCACAGGCTGTGGGATGCTGGGCCCTGGGAGCATCACTTCAGCAGAGAAGACCTTTCTATGACCAGAAGTGAATAAACCTGACAGATTCTCTTCTCAAGTGTGATTTGCCACCCTGTCAGGAGCCTTAGGAAACTCCAGCCCCCACCCCGAGCTGTCGTAACCAGCTGCCCTCCCTGATTTTGGTGACAGTGAAGCAAAAGTGCAGCTCGGAGCACAGACCTTCCCCTGTGACAAGGATCTCCAGCCCAAGTGGGACATAAACACTTCCTTGGTATTCCCCACTGGACAGCAAGGAAGGTCTTCGCGTGACCTTGAGTGGGCGAGGAGAGCGCCTGGTAAAGCCGTCTGTGTGCTGCCCCACACAGCACCCCTTGTGCTGGGGCCACCCACGACATTCCTCCCCACCAGCATCTGCGCGCTCAGTGATGCTGCTCCGCAAGAAACCCCTCTCCCGCCTCAAACATCTGGAGCCATGCTCAGGCCTGGCAAAGGCTTTTTTTGTAGGCACTGACACATCCCTAAGGACCTGCGATTTCCAAATATAGAATCCTTCTCATATTTTGTACAAATCCCACACTAAATTACCCTCTGCGCTCCTAACTGAGCCTATCAACTGAGGACCTGATTTCTGGCTTTGCAAGGTGTGCCTGTTGCCCTGAACCTGCTCAGAGCCCCCGCTGCCCTCAGTCCAGCTCGGCGAAGTCAACAGACTTATT